AAACATGTTTTCTCTTCACTCTGTCATTTCTATTCTCTACAGGATTATATTTACTCTTTGGTGTTTCTTTACAGTATTTATATATATAATATTAAGTGAAACTATTTTATTTCTCATACAACACTAACCTAAAATGGTTCCATATAAATATTATCATAAGATTTAAAAGGACGATCAAATCATGCCTAAGAGATACAACTTAGCAGCTACCTGTTAGATTTTTCCACCAGTACCAATAACGTTGCACTTCTGCTCAACTGTTCTTTCTTGTTCTTCCTCTCTTGACGTATGGACAAATGAGAAAAAAGAATAAAAACTTTGCTATTATACTTGTACCTATAATTCCTGGTTCAGTACGTGTAAAGTTACCACTGTTTGTAACCTCTCTTCTTATTCTCTGCTGACATACGCCTGTTACTGACAAATTCGTATGAATTCAATAGTTAGTATGTTTTTTTTTTACTATAAATTATTCGCTGCCAAACTCTTCAATTTCAGAGCTGGAAACACATCTTCCAGGGTTCACAGTTCTCTTGATAGCAAAAGGCTATAAATTCTCCCAGAAAATAGAGAAAGTATGTATAAAGATTATTTTCTTTTATCACTATTAACTGCATGAGTCTTATTTAATAAACAGCAAATTGTTTGAAATCAACAGTTACCAAGTATTTATGAAATGGAGTCCTTGAGGGTATGTAGTAATGAAATATATGAAAAAAGGGTAATTAAAGAATGACTTTATAATAGCAGTAGTTGCAGAGTGACAAACTGGCGAAGGAATTTACATTCTGTCATTCTAAAATGGGTCTGCCACTGCCATTGCCTCTTTAACATCTTTCAATAAAGATGCGTTTATGGACTTAGCAGAGACCTACTGTATTTCATCCCATATGACGTGACACCATCACCTCTCCCTCTTTCTCATCCCTTCCAATCTATTAAGCTTGCTGTTGTGCTTTTTCTGAGCTAACCCATTAAACAAATTAGCTGAAAAAGAAGTGACCTACTCATACTGAACATGGTCAAAAGTCCTAATGAATTGGTAACCCCAGTATCAGTTTCTTTTATGACTATAGGTTGGTCCATTTTCCTCCTTTTCTTTAACTCTGCCCAAGTTTGTATTGTAGGGATCACTACATTTTTCATTAACTAGTATGGGACTCTGTCACTTCTCGTGCCACCAACCATTCATTAATCACATATTTTCCTTAATTATTTCAGTTACCACTTTATGATAGTCTTTTCCTTATTAATTACATGGCTTAAACTTAACCTAAATAATTACAAGAGATAGGAGATGGTCAATTCAATTCATGGTCTTTCAAGCATTAAGTGAAGCCAAAAAAGTGATCTCCTAAGCATATAACTAGGAAACTTCAGGGGAGTTTGTCTTTAACAACTGTTGGAAAAAAGAGACTGTCCCACTAGTGGTACATTTTTGCCCGATCTGTCAATCCACACTACTCTTTTGCTTATCAGCCTCATGAATTTTGATGATAGAAGAGCCGATACAGATACCCTTTTGAGATATTAGTGCAGGCACGCTCATACTAATGAAGATGGTGATGGTGTAGGACTCACAGTCACAGGGATAAGAAGATTAACTGTTGTACTATGATTGCTTACTTTTACAGTAAACCTTTTAACATTTTTGTCAGAATCTAATAAGTGTAAATCCCATAGTTCCATGCATTTTTCATTATTGCTGCAGCTAAGCAGTTTTGATTGGGGTCTTCTGAGTTTTTAACTGAAGTTCATGTCTTTCAAAGACTCATGGGACCCTATTTTACCACCAATTACTGATACAAGTTGGGACTTGAGGGCTTGTGTTTGATGCTGAATTCTTTTCATTAACGAGAATGGATGCAAGGGAAAAATCCCAGGTGTCACATATCAACATATCCCTATTAAGACTAATTAAAATAGCGAAGATGAGGACAGCTAACAATGGGTTATTACTAATTTGGACTCATCTATGATCTTTCCAATCCACATCTGGGGTAACCTTCTCTGTTTCTAAATCTTCAAATTAAAGTTTTAAAGATGAATACTACCAAAATGAGGCTCTTTCATCAATACTACAACTTATTATTCATCGACCCTACTTAACTCCAAAGCTTACAATAAAGACATATATCTATGTACACTCAAACCCAAATTCAAACAAATGAGAATGACAGAATTCAGCATTTTTTTTAATTTTTAAATAAAGAAAAATAAAAATAAAATAAGGAGTGACATTAAAGTGATCAGGCCTGTTGGCTCTTGTGACCCATCAACAACTTTAATTGAGCGATGACAAGTTTTGGGGTCAGCCAGCAGCTTCTGTGGTTAAGCTGCAAAATGTTAATTGACATTGACATTTATGAAAATTAAATAATTACAACTTTAAATATAAAGAAAGAAAGGGAAGCAGTGTATTAATATTATTTATTATTTATTTTATTTTAGGCAACAAAAATGATAGATGCGTTTGGTTTATTATTTTGGATAGGATTTTAGGGATAGTATTGGATAATTGATATAGGAGTATTCGAGGTAAAATTTAAAATTTTATAAAAAAACCCCTAAGTTTGCTAATTTAATAAATCCCCACATGTAAAATGACAAAAATACCCTCACCACCTGCAGTGCCAGATTCCGGTCACCACCGCCGAAATCTAGCCGGAAAATTGCGTTACGACACAGACCGGTCGGATCTGTGTCGTAACGCGTCGTTATGGCCTTTCCGGCCAGATCCACCACGGATCTGACCGAAAATTGCGTTCGACACCAGACCGGTCGGATATGTGTCATAACCGTCGTTAGCCTTTTCCGGCCAGATCCACCACGGATCTGACCGGAAAAGGCCAGATCTAAGGCCTGCCGTGGTCGCGATGACGAAAAAGGCCAAAACGACGGCCAAAGATTTGGCCGTCGTTTTTGGTCAACGATGACCAAGATTTGGCCGCGTTCACGGCCAGATCGGTGAACTTTCGGCCATTTATGGTCGTCAGGTAGGCCGTTGTATAGATTCTGGCTACCACCGACGGTGGTTGCTGGAATCGGCAAGTATGGGTCGCGGGTTTTTTTAATAATTTTTAAACTTTTTTTCAAGGTGTATTTGATGAAATTAATAACCTTATGGGGTCTAAAAGTAATTAAAAAAATAGGGTAATATTTCTGGAATAATGTGCTAAACATTATTTGGAGAATAGGATTGGGAATAGGGATAAAAATAATAAGCCAAACATGACTGATGTTTTGTTGACCACTGTGCTGGAATGGAGGAAAGTTGGTTCATACATTTTGAGATCCCAGTGGATCCTATTCTCCACTAACGTTAATTCAATATCCCTATCCCACCATAAAAGGAACCAGAGTGAGAGAAATGAGCTGCTGAAAAAGCAGAATCAACACACAATTACAAATAGCCTTAGTGGTTCCATTTTCTAAGGACTAGCTCTAAATTCAACACGCTTACTTGATTTTCAAGGTCTAATTCAAACCCATTACTAATCCTTCACTTTTCATTCACATTGTTATTGAATATCTTTTTATTTCTACTTCTAACCATATATTCATTCATTTTGTTAAACATTACATATATCATTACTCTATTTAATTGAACACATTTTTAATTTTTGGGCAAAAATAAAATATGCGGCCTATTCATAGTTAAGCCCAAGCACAGCACAAACCATTCATGTCCTAAATGGGCCGGCCCAAGTATGATAGTCCGCTCTGTGGCGCGCCATCACTGATGAGTAAAAGTCCAACTGTACATCTTCTTCACTAACATTCTCTTGCCTTCCTGCATTTTCTGCTACCTAGATGGGGTTTTGAATGCAGTCAAAAACTGGTATAAACTTACAGAATTATTTTGCAACCCAGTGACATGAAGAAGGCTCTGCCTTTGACTCCTAAAGGTTATCTCTGTTGGTAGAAAAAGATGTAAGGTATCTTTCATTTCACAATGCTTTAACAAACCCACAGTTATCCTTCGTATTTGTACTTGTATATCTTTTACCTGCTGCCTCAGTGGTTCCTTTACTTTACACCCACATAATCAAGCAAACAAAATTCTAAGAAACAAATGAACTAATTAAAAGCCATAAGTCTGTATCTTATTGCACATATGATTTGGTATTATACATAATTTTCCAGCAAGGAGCAATCTACAAGCTAATTTCCAAATGGTCACTGTCTCCACTATCAATAAATTCAAAATATGTAAAGAGCTAAAACCAATTAAATTTTATTAAGAGAAAAGTCCCCTATGACCACTGGAGTGCTTATGGGATGACAACATCAGCACAGTAGCGTAGGACAACAACCTATTCATTAGGTTCTACCCATCCATCACTGAATAGCAGTGAAATTATATACACCTAAACTCAAGTAAAACTAGCAATGGTGGATTCTGCTCCATAAATTAGGAAAAACAAAATCTCCTTCTATCAACTTCAGTTGCACAATCTATAAAATAAATCAATTCACAGAAAAAGAATTTCATAATTACATGATTGCAAACTGAAATATTTGATCTGTTGGGGAACTAGTTCAGTTCTTTATACTTTCAGTCTACACCATCGGATAGCTTGGAATCAAAATGTTATCACTGAAAGAACTCTCAATTGATGATGATTGTATACTCTTTATCTCATGTATCTTTTTTTTTTTCCATCATTTTTGGTGGAAGTTCTGAATTGCGCATATGAAACACTAATAAATTTGTTCCACCATTGCAATCCACCTCAGAGGTAAGTTTGTAACTTATAAGCACATGCATCAACCAACAACATTTTACAATCAATAGCCAAAATCACCTTCAGTAACAGATAGTTCATTCTTCAAGAAATCAGAGACACTGCAAAAAATGAAATGAACTCAAAACTAAAATAAACAAGCGAACAAGAAACTTTTTACAGTCACAAGTTCTATTAAATATTATTAATTCCATCGTTCCACCAAATTACCCCAAACAAAACTTTTACAAACTCTTTAAGAAATTTTTTTATTAAAAAAAAGAAGTATATGCATCAAACTCTTAAAAACCTTTAGGATCGGTTTCTTTCAAAACGGCAGGTTTCTCAGCCATGGAGAGACAATACTTTGCAATCTCTCTGAATCTAGGCACACTCCTGAGGTCAACCTTTGTATCATCCTTCAAAGTAATGATAACATCACCCCACTCACCAATAAACCTCGGCACCACCTGCACATCCTTAATCACTTTGTATGAGAAATCACTCCTGTCTTCACCTGTGAATCCAGAAATAACCGTTACTCGCAGGTTGGTGAACCTGTATCTTAAGTAGAAAGCTCTTGAAACTGCAGCTAAAGTTAATGGTAACCAAAATAGAGTGAAACCCAGAAGCAAGTTTGCTACAAGGTCACCGTAGTGAGCTCCACCATCGAAAAAGATGGTTTCTTGATTGGGTTTCTTGGTGGTGGTGGTGGTGGTGGTGGTGGTGGTGATGGGCGTTTTGTTAGGTGGAGAGGAGACGTGGAGCTTGGTGATCGGTCTGTTGTGGGGAAATGCAGAGAAGGAAGGGAAGGGGAGTTTGGAGGAGAGATAGAGTGACTGATGGGTGGTGGAGGACGTAGCGGTGGAGGTGGAGGTGGAGGTGGAGCTGGTGGGTGAGAGAATGTTGGTGGACGCCATGGACACGAAGGTTTATCCGTTACAGAAAGGAAGGGATGGAGTGTTTCGGTAGTTGAAGTTGAGTTGTGGGAGTTTTGATGGTCCTGCATTTGACACTTGGCACACTGAACTACAGTAGTATCGATCTGGTGGGCTATTATATCAGGCCCAGCAAATTATTCAAAACAACTTAGACAGGTGTTAATCGAGCACTACTCAATGTCTTTGCAAACCTCAAAGGCTCAAAATTGACAAAAAGATTATATTTAAATTAATTTTAAAAATTATCATTTTCCCTAACTTTTTAACCGACTTCTCTTTTCTTTAACAATGGTGAGAAACAAGAAAATAAGTTTTACTCCTTTTACTTTTTTATTTGAGTATTTCTTATAAAATGAATGAATTTTTTTTACTCAAATAAATTGGGGGGATTGAAGCAATTGTTGGATATACGATTGGAGATTGACGAAACAGCTATTGAAATTTGGAAAACTGACAAGATAGTAAAGGTCAAGGCGTGCTGGAGTAGCACTGTTCTATAGATCAAATTACGTTCCTATAGGATGGAATCCTAGTGCAGCAAGGTTGAACGATGGTGAGAACTCTATGATTCAATGATCAAATATATTGTAAGGGTGCATACCCAACTACAGAATTGTAAAACAGCAAAAGAAATAAGAAATAACAGAGCTAATATGTGAATATGAAAGAACAATAACAAACTAGAGAGAAAATGATAAGAATTTTTGGTATAGCGCAAATGACTATAGAGCTCCTCAATTTATGCCAAAAAATATGAATGTCAAGTCATAATTGTTATCAATAATTTTGTTGCTCAATTTGAAAATAACTAACCAAAAATTGAATCAAAAAAACCAATAACAACATGAAATTGAATATAAAATATCAGTAAAAGAAATCAAATTGATTCACAAATCTATTATAGCAAAAAATTTAACTTTGTAACAATCAATATTTAACTCTTTTAACTAATAAAAATTGCATTCGGAAATTTGTAACAATTGCTACATTTAGCCGGATAAAAAACTGAATCAATTTAGAATCCAAACCAGATTAATATGTCAACATCTCTGAATCCAAGCCCGAACCACATGGAGGGCCTAAATTGGTGGATTTGCACGCCCCTTCCACGTGTTATATTGCGGGTACACAGGCGGTTAATTAGTTTTTTGATCAATTTTTCAAACTGGGCTGGGCTTCAATGTCTAATGCGCGTGGGAGCCCATGTTATTTCCTTGTTAATCCATTCAAGGGCCTTTGTACATAAACCACTCTCCCACCTTTTATCTTTTCCTTGTAGGATTGTGGGTATTTGGAAAACCATCCGAACGCACGCATACTCTAACGATCCCCCACATTACCAATTATCTCTAAAATCCGATGTTTGCACTGGTGCCTTTCGGGCTAGAACTAGTCATTGAGCACTAATCATGTCGAGAGGAATATGGTGACACTTATAGCTTCTATGAAAACTTAGCTTGAATTAAGGGGCAAGAGAATTACATTAGTTCTCTACATATTTGCTTGTTTACGGTTTGGCATTTAGTGATCTTGTGCCTTCCTGGAATTCATGAAGAAAAAAGTATCTTACGTCATGACTTGGTTAAAAGGGAGACATTATTGTGGAGTACATTAATATTTATAGTATGTTAGTTGATCCACTAACCAAGGAGTAGCCCTATTACTTTTAAAGGTCATGAAGAAAACATGGGTAGAGTTATTGATGTATGACTGTTGATTTTATGCTATGCTGTTTATAATTGAGTTAGCATATTTTTTTATCATGATCACAATTTAATATTTTGTTGATAAATATAAATTTACGCATTTGAATTGTTGATATACAATATTGTGTCGCAAGAATAAAGTTTCTTTTAAAAATGACAGTTGTATGAGTATGTTTTATATTTGTACATCTTGAGATAATTGGTTGAAACATACTAGCAGATAATTGGTTAAAACATACTAGCTTCATTGGAAGCTGTGAAACTCCATTGGAAGCTGTGAGATGTCTTTTGCTCTTCTTTAAAGCATAAATATTAAAGAGAGAATTCAATTAGGAATGACAGGGCAATAACACATGTTTTGATCACTTGTTAGGTGCTATCCCTGCCACACTCCAAGATTACTGAACCAAGTGATTTGATTATTGGTAATTGTAATCATGAATTGATTTATGTTGATTTAAGATGTAACGATTACCTTGGTTCATTATTGATAATCATATTGACTAGATTGTTAGTCGAAGTGTTATCTCTAGACTATGTTCACTACTAGAAAAAACCTCATCATTGATAGAATAATTTGACAGATTTTCTTGACCGTTTTCAAAACTGTTCTTGATAAATTCTTGAGAGTTTCTGAACTGTCAAGAATTTAAAATATTCCTTGACATTTTGGATGATTCTTGAAGAATTTGGTAAAAACTAAATTTTACGAATTTTATTCTTGACAGTTATGATCTCAATTCTGGACAGTTTTTAACTGTGAAGGACTAAGTTGAAAAAATAAAAATAAAAGAACCCTAACACATTTGTCTCTTTTCGTTCTCCCATTTTTTCATTAAGGGGCAAAAGATTAAAAGGCCATATTGGCCTTGAATATAATTAAAAGGCCATGTAGTTTTCAACTCTTTACTAAATGACCTTATTTTTTATTAAGACAAATTAATCACAATTAAACACTAATCATGGCTTAATTAGGATTAATGAAGGCATTGAGTAATCTTTCAAAAATTATACTTTGTCTCGAAAAACCTAAAATAGTTGCATTTTAATCCAAACCCAAATCAAAGAAATTGCTCCCTTCCCTGCCGCCATTAACATCTTCTTCTCCTTCTTCTTCCTCTTCCATTAACATCTTTTCCACTAAAGATCCGCCTCCTCCTCCTCCTCCTCCTCCTCCTCCTGACATTTCATCCAAGTATGTGTGTCTCTAATTTGCATTTTATATTTCTATTTACAAAGATTTAATGATGGATTGGGTTTGGGTTATTATTTCAATTTAGTGGTTTAGGTTCTTGGGTTGTGTTTGATGTTATGCAAGTTAAAAGGAGTGAAATTTATTGATGATTTTCTTCATTGTGGGTAGCTGGGGGTGGTAGCACCGATTATAGGTGGAGATGACTGAAAATGTATTATGGAGCTGATTGATCGCTTAAGCGAGTTGGTATAACTCTGGTATATGACAGTAGATCTCTTAAGCGATCTAGTATAAGTCTGGTATATGACAGCAGATTGCTTAAGCGATCGGGTATATGTCAGCATATCACTTAAGCGATCAGGCTTATTTATACCAGATCGCTTAAGTGATATACTGGATCGCTTAAGTAATCTAGTAAGAGATATACCATATCTGGTATATCGCTTAAGCGACTCTGCAAATGCTTTTTAAAATCCGTTAACCTTTAAAATATCGGTTAATATTTTTTTTTCTTGCATTATAGGTACTTGGCTATTATTAGATATGGGACAAGTTGTTTGTGGTGTTGAATATTTTGGTGAGTGGGTGGAGGACGAAAGTTGCTGGAAGTGGATTGGGAAGAGCAAACAAGTTAAAGTAATTGCTGTGAGTACAGAAGTTAGTTTTGATGAGTTGATTGATGAAATCATTAGAAGAGGTGGGTTGAGTTGCTTAGGTAGTGATATAGTTGTGAAGTATGTTTTAAGCAGAGTTCCTGCAAATTTTAAGGTACCCCTTGTTGTATTAATGTCTGATGAAGATGTGAAGTTATATATGCTTAACGTGGTTGGTGATGGTTTGAGGCCGATTTTAACGGTTTCGGTTGTGGATAAACCTTTGGAAGTTGGTTCAAAGGAAGGAGAGAATGAGCAAGTTGGTGTGGAGAATGTTGGTTTTAATTTTAATTACGAGGGCGTTGATTTCTTTATTGAAAAATCAAGAGTAGGCGGTGATTTGGGTGGTAAGGAGGACACTGTAGAAGAGGTTGGTCTGTTGGGTAGAATGAAACTATGGATGAAGAGGACACCGTACATGTTCTTGTAGATGTAGAGATTCCTATAAATACAGATTATGTAGAAGGTATAGTTTGTGAGGAAGAGAACACTATGGTCCTTTATCTAGGTTCAGAGGAGGCAATTGCGGGTAGTAGTGAATCAGCTCATGTTTTTACTGATGGATTAGACTTGCGCGTAGGGTATTTATTTGACAACAAGGAGGAAGTGGTGATGAAGCTAAAACTTGTTGCCGTGAGAGGTAATTTTGAGTTCATCACAAAAAAGTCTAATTCATCGGTAGTGACAGTAGTATGTCGTGATCGAAAGTGCAAGTGGTGGGTTTATTGTAGAAGGTTGTTGGAGTCTGAAAAATTTATTGTTAGCACATATACCCGTGAGCACACATGTGGGTTGGGACATATTTTAGGTGAGCATCGACAAGCCTCTGCTAATGTTATTGGACAATTTGTCAAAAGTCAGTTTGTTGAAGGGAAATGTCTATTTTCTAAGGACATTCAGAGATATGTGCACACAGAGTTGGGATGCGATGTCAGAAACTGGAAATGTTGGAAAGGGAGACAATGATAATCATATTTTACACTATGATTTTGCATTGAATTTTGATAGGATTTAGGATACTTTTCATTCAATTTCGGCCATAATTGCTACCTAATTCTATTAATTTGTCTTTGCAGGCTTAAACGATGATTTTGAGCATAAATGACAGTTTTGAGTGTAAATTGTGTAACTTGAGTTTGGAAACTCGGAATGACCTGAATTAAGAAGATTTGGAAAGCTAAGAAGAAGAGCTACAACTTTTATGTTTTGGGTTTTTCCTAATTATGACTGGACAATGGTGAAAACTTGGCTTGAATTCGTGAAAAGTATGTTGGGAACTGAAGAAAAACGTCTTTGGACGTGCTTTAGTATTTTTACCATACCTTGAGCTGTAGACCTCGGATTGTGCTTATTACTAAACTACCAGAAAGATAATTTAAAGGGCTACAATTCATATGTTTAACACTTTTCCAGATTCAGGTTCTATCATGCTCATATTTGGTCCGAAAGTCTTCAGCGCGGCAAAGACAAAGCTTCGTCGCGGCGAAACCT